ATTTTGATCGAATAGTGTGACACAGTTTGATTAAGTGCTTTTGCATAGTATATACTACAAATCGATTTTAATGGATAACCGTTTCATACTGTTATGAGCTCCTGACCAGTACTCACCTACGTCTCCGCTAGAAATAAAACCTAAAACGTTCAGGTCTCAACGTATAGTATGCTTTAGCTTATGTGCCGATGTCTACTATAACCAGTGATCACAATGTTTGCTTACTCATTTACGCCTGTCACTAATCTTGAAGCATGGGCTGCTGATCAGGATTCTTCAACCAGCTCTGCTCTGGACTGGCCTCTCCAGCTGTTACCAAGTGCTATTTGTTCCTCTAACATCCGCTTCGAATTCTCAGGTTAATGAGTTCTTTGGCCTACTTTTATTCCTTTTGCCTTGAGAATTTCATGTTAGAACTGGCATCGTGATGCAGTTAAGTGATTTCCGCAATGAGTATTCTGTACATCTTTTGCGCTTTTTCCTGATTTCTTCCTCAACTGGAAGCAGGATCTTTCTCTCCCACAGTAAGTTGTTACTAATGGTGTCAGGCCAATGTGTACGGAGCATCCTTAGTAGACAACTTCTAATAAACACCTGTATCTTTTGGTTGATGGCTTACATAGTTTCCAAAGTTTCCGCACCAATTCAATCCTTGATGCTCGTAATAAATAATATTGAGTTTTGTTGAGTTATTTTTTCTGTCTTTTATATTATGTTCCGTATAATAATTTTGTCACTCTTCTCCCACCTTTAATTTCTGTTTTTTTTATACTAACATAGTTAATTTATATTTTCGAAACAAATAAAGTTTATTTGACTTGATTTTACTTTATCTAAACTAAGACTATGTTCAATAAGTTACAAATTAGCGTTGAGTTTTTTATCAGTAGGTAATAAATCTCTATAGTCTCCAAAAACCTTTTTTTGCATAACAATAAAAAAAGTGAACAAATATTATTTCCTGTGTTTAAACTGTCAAAGATACAACCCATTGCTTGGGTATGTTGCAGTAACATTTAATTTTTTGACCTTATTTTCTGTAATCTTTTTGCCTGACTTGGTTTAATTCATGAAACTGAATTAAATTTAATAATTCCGATGTTTTTATCTCAGTGTCATTAGTAGTGATATGAACGACTGATAGGTTGATTCAATCAATATCTTACACATCACTTTCCAATTATTCCGGTAGAAAAATTTTTCTATTCCTCTAGAAAACACAATGATAGTTGGGATGCAGTTTAATACATACTTAACCAACTTCGATTTAAATTGTTTTATTGGTGTTAGCGGCCCAATATTCGACGTAAATCGACTTCATATTGGTTGTCAGAAGAGGCATCGGTACCGTGACTTCATCACGCGACGTCATAATTCTTCCTCCAACTCCCAGGGCAGAGTTAAAATGGTTTGAATTATTTCTTCCGGTTAGCGCTTTTTTGGCAAGTTAGTTTTTGACGGAATGGGGTCGCCAACCCCATGTCCAACCCTCCTCCTTTATCCGGGCTTGGGACCGGCAGTTGCCCCGAAGGGTCCACAGGCGGAGTTAACAACTGGATATAATTTACGTTATACTATGAGGGTTCCTTGGTGATGTGCACACAAAACCAAGTTCAGGATTGAATCCTTGACCTTCAGGTTTTGCCATGAGATCTTAACTTTTGGACTGATGAGTTTGCGCCCATATATAAATATTTCAAAATTCAACCAAGTTTCGAAGTAGGTGAAGATCGTCTTGAAGAATTGGTAGTGCATGTCTTATTGTTGACATCAGTTAGTTCATACTTATCGTCCTATGTTCCAGACGTGTCTGAGATAGAGTTACAAAAGGAGGTCACAACGCCGGGTAATGCTGCATTTGATGATTACTTGGATTTTGGGAAAATAAAAGTCTGGAAACCTCAATGCTAAGTGTTAAACTTTTAATTATCTGATAACTTACAGAAAATCGAAATTCATAAAACCACAGATATTTTTGACGAAAATAAAGTTGTAATACGCATTTGTTTCAAATTGAATAAATTGATTTCAACATAATGAACGAAATAACAGATGGGATTTTAAAACTGTTACTTATTTCGTAAAGGTCTGTTGAATTTGCACACTTTGAAAAAGCAGAAATTAATGATCATTAATCATTTTCTAATGGGGCTAATTGATTTTAACTTAAGGTTGTCAAAGTTGATCGACTAATGCCATCATAAGAATAAATTTCTAAATTATCTTACCGACTATACCTCTGTCAGATTTGTGTGCAATGATCATTGTGCAACAGTTATTGCGCAATGGATAAAAATTTCTTTCATGAAAATTTATTTCAAATGCGATTTCTTTTGATAAAATATTTCGAGAATATGAAGAAGTAGATGTACGCTAGAAAGAAACTAGATAATGTATATATGCATTTGTATCTGTTCACTCGTGAGATTTAACCAAAATATCACTACAGAAAGCGTATAAGGCTAATAACATAATAACTTTCTTTCGAATATATGTATGTATATGTATATATATACTTTATTGTTGTCTTATCCGATTACTGGATGTTGTGATTAGCTTTTCACCTTACTTTCATTTTACTTACACTTGATTATAAAACGGAGGTTACTTATTATTTTACAGTTTCTAAAGGAAAATAATGTTTTAACAGGCTTTGTTTAGCCACTAGCCTATTATTGTAACTTCAGTACTTGATGATTTGTTCTTAAAGTGGCATTGCGTTGAAAAACACAAGAGAAAATAAGTACAGACTTTAACAGTATGGATTTAGCTAGTGAATATCTATGGTACATACGAACTAAATTTGATGGGTCACCATTAATTAAGTGAAATATTACTTGAGATTCAATTATGTGAAAATATTTCTAAGACTGTGAATCAGTTTCTCCGAATTTTTTGATGTACTTCTAGTTGCTGAGAGACAACCCTTTTTAATATCGATTTTGGTGATGTTTCGTTTTCTGTGGAGGTTTCATTGTTCGGAACGAAGCATCACCACAAGCATCTACCTTAGCTACAAATTTTCTTCACCACCTCAGTATCAATTATCTTGACGGTATGGTGAAGTGTTTTAAAGAAGCAAGAAACTGACAGACAACTAATGCATCTCAATAACAGAAAAGATGCAGATATTTTGGGATCGGTAAATATTGGATAGATAAGCTGAGTTAGCAGAAAAATTTCTTTTTTTCAAGTGCCCATTGTTCCGCTGAAGCATCACCTAGTCTAGCCTTTCTGACGCTTGGCAATCGTCATTTTATAAACCTGAAACGACCAAACGAGAAGGATAATATAAAATCCTTGATCATAACACTTTGATTCCAGTAATTTATTTACCATTTACTGTTCACAATGTCTTGAAGTCTAAACTACAGCTGATTTCACTTTCACAGAAACAGTTAATTTAAACTGATGTCAGAAAGTCTGTTATTGTTAGTTTGTTCTTAACTACTTATCAACATAGTTGCCGGATTTTCAAAATATCCTCCATAACACTGCGGACACTAATGATGTGGACAAGAAAGAGACTGTAAGCTGATTAGACAAAAAAATAAGTACCTTAAAATGCAACTTATATGATAAGTTTTAATAATCAATGACAGTGTTCCATATTGGTGTTGGCAAGAACATAGCCAAAAAATATAATACCAAGATATTGAAATGGAAAAGATGGACTTCCGAAGAAATCTCATTCATTGAATTGTTTGAGACGTCGGATTGTAGTCTAAATTTATCGGCTGAATACACATATTTGTACATATACACTCATGATTATTGTAAAACAACGTGATGAGGTGCTAACAGTTTATCCGAATACATATAAAAAACAAGCACACTCACATAGCTTCAAGAAACGTCTTTCTGGGACTAAAATGTCTATATAATAGCTCGCTATTTCATTCAAGTAGCACATGAAATATTTATAACGGGCAGAATTATGAAATGCAATAGATTTTTATCGATAAAATTTTGGAAAAGGAAAATAGCCTTAAACTTCTGAAAATGTATCACTTGTAATTCAAATATTGTCCAATTTTTTCCATACTACACGCTCTCTATGAATAGCTGCTTTGGTCTCGACATTCTGGTATTTGAGAAAATGATTTATGCGATGAAAGTATGATACAAATTGGCACAGTTCTACAATTTTTGATAATGAACAAAATCGGTATTTGAAATATTAAAACATTATGATTGATTACAAATTTCAACAGAAAAAGAATACTAACACCACAGACTACTATACAAAACAAGAAATTTACAGTTTGAACAACACAACTTTTTAATTACTCAAACATTAGATACCTAAATGCGCTAAATCGATAACTAGATAATCGAAAATTTTGTCAATTCTTCAGGCCGTTATATTCATATTTAGTAGACTACTAGAAATCTGTATTCTAGTGTTGATGCTTAATAATATTAATAATAATAATAATAATAATAATAATAATCAGTTTTTATTTGCATATAAAGTACTGTGTTTCAAGAACACAGGTGTCAATTTAACACTTTCACCCAACCCAATTCAATTTAAATAAAGTGACAAATGCAAATATTTTCGTGATGATTTAGTTTATTATTCAAAGTCAGGACATGATTGTCTCGTTGGGATTAATGTAACTGATCCACTGGAAAAAAATGACAAAACAGAAACCGAATTTTAAGATTACGTCAACCAAAAGATATTTATAGTTGAGAGAAAAAATATATATAAATAACTATTTATTCTTTTGAAATTATGCTTTAAGTGAAGATGAACAACTGATCAATATAGTATATATGTAATGTCTGTCACTAAATCTCATGCTCACTTTTCTAAAATCTTTGTGCTCTTATGTAGGACTATTTGTTTAGCTCTATTGTGTTTATAAACATCATCGACTGGGATGACAAATCATACACTCTCCTGTGTTATCTCAAATTATGATGATATCTTTGTAAATGCATGCCAAATCCATGTTCAATAATTCTTTTCTCTTTCAATGTATTTTATTCAGGTTTCTGATACTCATGTATCATTCATGCCTAGTCAATACCAGGTGGAATCAATTGAAGAGAAGATGACAACATTCAATCAAAATTATGGCCTAACAGATAGGCTAAGTCCATATGACAATACAATTTTCGACAGTTCAACCATCAAATATAATCCGATTCCAATTAATCAAATGAATATTGACTGTGGTGAAGTGTACATAAATGAAAGCTCATTAGAAGAAAATCATTTCCCAATAGCTAATAATAATAATAATAACAAAAACAATACTTTACATTGTACGATAAATTCAAAATTAGAAGATGAATAAAAAAATTCTTATCAAGTGAATATTATACTTTGTCTATTTTATCTTTGATAATTGAAGAACATTTCATTGTTATGGTTTTGTTATAATTCAGTTGAATCTTACCTTTTATCCCTTGTTTTTTTATTTATTGATAAACTGGAAAAAAATATTTTATATCGAAAATTTTGATTTCATTGTGGTGTCATCGCGTAAACAACATGGATTTGAGAATCACTTCTATAATTATTTAAATAATGTACATAATCTCTTTTTTTTAAAAAAAATTTACATTCAATTACATTGCTGCCAGTTTTTCTTCCTTACTTTTTACTACAGATAGTATCCTCTGTTTTGTTCATTTTATAACAAAGTGATAATGAATTGAAAGAAATAATTATGGCTGATTTTAAGATTTTAAGTACAATGCAGCTATTGTTAGTTATTCCGTTGATTTCTAATCATTAGATTTTGTAGTACGTACCATAACATACTTGAAGTTATTTAGTTCTCTCTAAACATATAAGTGAAAGTGGTTAGTTTTGAGCAATAGAAAAATATTTGGTTAGTCTTTTCTTATGCATGTAACAGTGATATTGATACCTTTGATTTAATCATATAGTACGTTATCAAGTATTAGGTCTATGGATTTAAACCTATCAAACGTTTTCTTTAACAGGTATAATCTAATCAGCACTCACTTGGTTAAACAAAAGACAACATAGATTTTCAATAACAATTCTGAAATGCCACTTTTCGCAATACTGATACTTAAGAGATACTAACTTGATAATAACCTTGGTAAGACTGTGTGTTAATACAAAAGAAATTGATATCCTACATATATTTAAATTGGATTTGTAAATAAAGATAATCTTAGTTTCTGGCATGTCATCTTTTAAGAGAGAACACTAGTCTAAATAATATCATAAAGCCTTATTTGGTACACATATTTTTTTCTTTATTAAATGTGCAACAGAGTGAAAAACTTTAGCTTGTGATGTGTACTGGTATGTTCAATCCACATGGATTGCCCTAGACTTTAGACGAACTAATTCATTCATTCTTCTGGAGTTATTCACATATTTTTTGACTTTGCCAGCTATTATCTGATGTTCTTGGTTGTTTTGACTTCAGTGCGTATGTCCATCGTTTACTTTGCTTATCACATGTCTTGCTTATTTTTGCCTAACCATGAACACTTAGTCATACCTCATCATAGTGGTTTGGCTCACTAACCTCCGCCTCGCTTTGTTTCGCTTGGCATTGACGCTTCATTTTCTATTGTCTGTCTGCCTACATCCAATCAAAAAACCATATTGGGCTTTTGTAAACGACTGGTACATAAATAGGGTTCGCCAAAAGGATTATATATCACAAGCAAAGTGGAGTTTTATTTTACAGAATATTCAATCGTTCGGCCAAATCAAAGTTGAATCCCGGGTAACAAAAAGCTTCATAAAATGTAAATAAATTATAACTTGACATAAGAGAACGAATGAAAACTTGTTCGTTAAAATTCGCATTTTACAAACAATTTTAGAGGGCCATATATCGTTTCAAGAAATATTAATTCCACAGCTGAAAGTGTTCATTATTATTAACGAAAATAAATGAGGGCTACAAAATTTAATTTTAAAAATGACAGCCTAAACATAGTTATTCCATATGTCTTCTCTATTCTTTCACGAATCATTTCTTCATTTTATGTGAGATTGTGACATACCAGTATGAAATGAATAGACTAACAGTACGTCCCCAATATCTGAGATCGAAAATAACTTTGCGTTTGCATGGGCTACCTAAAACTCACAAACTTAATATGCCATTAAACCCATAGTGGACTTCACAAACACCTCTACATATGCTCTATCCGAATATCTAAGCAGTACATTGAAGGCATTTCAACATAACCTTAATAATGTCGTAAAGTATTTTCGTGAATTTAGATTAAAGCTTCCGGAATTGTCCATTAAGAAAGAGACAGTAGTTAGCTATAGTGTTATATTTCAACCACTGTGATGCGATCTACATTTGCAAGTCTTGTCGTAAAATCTCGATACAAAAAGTACTAACAATCTCACAGCGCTGTAAAATTTATAAACTAAATCAGTAATAACTGTACATGTTTTTCACTAACTACCAAAACTTGATCAAAAAGGTTTTTCCGAATATCAAGTGAGATGAGTAGCCGAAGCATTTCATATAATTTATATACATCAAAACAGTTTCAAGTTCCTATTTTTTGTTGGATAAAACTAGATACCTGAATTTGTAATATATTTATTGTGACTCTTCATCAATATACGTATAAAATTTTAAAGCAATATTGGTTCATCATCAGTCTCATATATGGTTTTATTTAGAGGAGAATTTTAACAATGTATTTAGCATATTTAAACATAATTAAGCGAAGTTTATTAATTACCTTATAAATTCTTTTTGATGTGAGAAATTTCCATTTTTCATCAACGATTATTAATGAGATTTTTTAGATCGGCCATGCTTTTCTACAGTTAATAATGATCAAAGTAACTGAGAACCGACCTAAAGTGATGAAAAATAATTAAAATTAATCTTTTATTCATCAATTGGCTGAAACGAAATACAATAGTTAATAAGTATCGTGAGGTTATTTGTTAAATAACTAAGATTAGTATGATGGAAATCAAACAAAAACGGTACTTTTTTAGGTCATTTGAAGAAAAATTAAATCGATTCAACCTATTTCGTAATCATCATCCGGACCTATCATACCAGTTGAACAAGTTAGTAATCATCAGGACTTAGTTGCTAGCCTTTTAAAATTTAGAGCGTTTTGAGGGAAAAGAGCTGTTTTGGAGTATTGATAGGAATTTTAACATTGATGCATATCCATTTATTTAAAAAGTCCCGAACTGAATGAAATGTGAGTGCTTCATTTCATTAGAAACTAAAATCCATCAGCTCTTTACAATTATCTAATCGTTGTAAGCGACCATTCACTTAGACATGATTGATTTTTAAATAGTTCTCAAAACAAAAGTTATTAAACTCAGGAAACAAGCCCAGTTTGAAGTAAAAATTTTCAGCTAACATGTATAAAGTAGTTTCCAATTCTTGTCCTCTAGTCTGACCGGCATCGCTTATGGATATATCTGGTCGAATTTATGTCTGATGCTTAACAAAATCATGCAAAGCATTGACGTGATTATTTCCAAAACTGATCATTCTGAATATGTAATTTACATCTAACGAACCGTACTGAAGTTCAATATAGATACAAAAATAATCCGCTTAACTATCAGATTGTGAGATGTAATTGGTTTATTTTGTCTCGAAATGTTTATAAGAAGGATTTTGCACAGTAAGGTAAGTCTCATTAAGGAACAGGGAAAACTTTTGTTTAAATAAAAGAAAACTAAAAGAAATCTTGAAAGTGTTTGATCAGAATTCTCTCTACAAAATAATAACCCTTTTTTGATTGAAATGCGAACAGCCTGATGTGAACATTAGGAAGTCATTTTTCATAAAATTTTTAATTAATGCCAAATTTTGGTATCATCTATTCTTCTGCCTAAAATAGAAATAGTAGCTAATCACTGTCTTACATAAGCTAAATAAATCCAAAAACAGAAATTACACCACAACTTGCAAAGCAAATTACAAACCTCGGCTATTCGCAAATTGACACCCTCCCCTTATGTGTGCAGAAACAGTTTGTTATAACCTTGAATTTACCTTGGTAGTCTTTAAGCTATTTTATGATCTACAGCACTGTGAAAAATTCCATATTTTTTCGATACACTGTTGATTTTCTCACTCCCTTACCTACAATTATCATCGAATGTTTATTTGAACATTTATTCGGTTGACACGTTTCATTAATTTTCAGATAAAATGTGTGACCAGATTGTTCAAAAGATATTGCGCAAATACATCAAATTTCTAAGATCAACTACGTCTTCTCATTATTCTATGAAAATTTACAAAAGGAAGTACTTCTTTTACGTTGAGTAGTTTGCCGTAGATTTTATGAAAATATATGGTTAATAACCAAAACCGTAAGCAGTCAGTGATGAAAAGTGTGTTTATAACTTAACCCTGTTTGCTGTCGAAAATTCACTAAAATCAGTATTACAAAGGTAGTAGTCATATGACTTACTTTGTAACTAATCATTGATCAATAAAGACAGTTTATTTGAAATTTCTAGGCGGTTTGTTTTTCTAGAGCGAAATTGTTAGGATAATGAGTTTTACATCAAAATGAACAAAGGCATTAGTGTCCTATAATTTTTCAAAGCATTGAATGTATAAAAAAGTAATTTTTAAATCATGAGTCGATCAATGTTAGACCACCATTGGAAACCAGGAAGCACTAGATAGCCATTTCGTACCGGTACAGAACTCATCAGCAGTGCGTCTCTACGGTTTAGTGGTCCAAAAGTTAAGGGTTTGCGCAGAAAAAAGGTTTTGGTTTCGAATCCTGCGATTGGTAGGAGTCATGGATGTGCGCTGCTGATGAGTCTTGTACTAGGAAGAAAAGGCCGTTCTATGATTTCGGGTTTTTCATGATGGTCTAACATAACTTGTTTCATGATTTCAATGTAACTCAACCAATCTCCACAACCCAATAATGCAAAAAAGTACTTTTTGAACTTTATTACTCATAAAAACAAGATATTTAGAATCGCCCATTACAAAAGAAGTCTTTTCGTGTAAATATTTCTTGTACTATAATAACAAGAACGATTGCCAATCAATGAAACAATATATGTACGGATGCGAATATATTCTTAGCTGAATATAAAATTACGTTCTCAGCAATTTATTTTTCTATTTCAAAATACATTTAATTTATGAATAAAAAATCATTCAATCATCTAACTTTTCTATCGCATTCAATGAATATTATCCCTCAACTATGCACGGAACATCGTAAAATTAAAATCAATGCATGAAAATAAAAATACTTAAATACATAAATGTCTCACTGAAGTAATTTAATAATAAGTTTCACATAGACCAAAATAGAACAGTTATTT